TATATAGTAATAATGGACTAGAAATAACTAATCATTATATGGGTTACTTAGAATTGATATTTTTTCATCAACATCTTTCATTCTTTGCCATAGCATGATGGCTATCTAACTACATCTCAGTCAGAGCTATAGCCAATACCATGCCTTCTATTTACTTATGATATTAGGTTTATTAGGAGACCTTAAAGGCTTTATCATATTGCTCTGACTCCCATTGGAACCCAGAGCTTCAAGGAAGTACCCATCAAATCAAAATTAACATTTTTTACCTACTAAGAGCAAAAGTATTCTAACATATACAGAAAACATGCAAGTACAAGTCCCTGCTGTCTAGGAAATGCATGCTCTCTCTGGTTGCTGGTACAAGGCTTAGAAATATTAAACGAGCCGAGGTAGGAGGATCACTTGCTGTCAGGAGTTCAAGGCTAGCCTGAGCAAGAGTGAGACTCTGTCTCCACAAAAAATAGAAAAAATTAGCCGGGTGTGGTGGCACGCACCTACAGTCCCAGCTACCCGGGAGGCTAAGGCAGGAGGATTGCTTGAGCCCAGGAGTTTGAGGTTGCAGTGAGCTATGATGACACCACTGCATACTACCCAGAGTAAAAGAGTGAGGTCCTGTCTCAAAAAAAAGAAAAGAAAAGAAAAGAAAAAAGAAATATTAAATGAGCCGAGGTAGGAGGATCACTTGCTGTCAGGAGTTCAAGACCAGCCTGAGCAAGAGTGAGGCTCTGTCTCCACAAAAAATAGAAAAAATTAGCCAGGTGTGGTGGTACACACCTATAGTCCCAGCTACCCAAGAGGCTGAGGCAGGAGGATCACTTGAGCCCAGGAGTTTGAGGTTGCAGTGAGCTATGATGACACCACTGCATACTACCCAGAGTAAAAGAGTGAGGTCCTGTCTCAAAAAAAAGAAAAGAAAAGAAAAGAAAAAAGAAATATTAAATGAGCCGAGGTAGGAGGATCACTTGCTGTCAGGAGTTCAAGACCAGCCTGAGCAAGAGTGAGGCTCTGTCTCCACAAAAAATAGAAAAAATTAGCCAGGTGTGGTGGTACACACCTATAGTCCCAGCTACCCAAGAGGCTGAGGCAGGAGGATCACTTGAGCCCAGGAGTTCGAATCCAGCCTGGGAAACATGGTGAGACCCCTGCCTCTAAAAAAATAAATGAACAAATAAAATTTCTTAAAAATGTGAGTCCAATAGAAGAACTCTAATCACAGGTTCTGTGGCAATGATTCCCAAATTTGTCAGCAAATTAGAGCCACCTAGGCATCTTTCAAAGCATCCAAAGCCTAGGACTTACCTTGGACCACTTGAATCAGAATCTTTGACAGTGGATTCAGGCATCAGTAGGACCTAAAACTCCCCCAGATGTTTCCAATATGCAGAAAATTTGGGGAACTACTTCTCTGTGACCTCTCTACTTAAGCGTGATTATAGTGCAGACATCACCTGGAGAGTATTTAGAAATCACGGTCTCAGGCCCCACCACAGACCCAGTGGGTGGGGATTGCCTTCCACAAGAACCACAGGTGATGTGGGCAACATTATAGCAGGAGATGGACTGCTCTAGGGCACAGCAAACTGTTCCAGTTGCCACAGTTCACAGGTAGTTTATTTCTGCTTCAGAAATGCAAAAGCAAGTGCACAGAAACAAGAATGGAGATCTGAAAACATTATTTTCTTAAAAGGTAAAGGCTGGATAAATAAAATGGCAAAGTTGGAGCCTCTAGGAAAATTTTTACAGATTTCTCAGATATAAAAATTTTCAGATAAAATTATTCTGCTATAACAAAACATGCAATAATAACTACTATTCAAATGAAAGAAAGAGAACAGAAGGAAGTTCTTCGGTTTGAATGCTAAGTTTGAGCAAAGCTTCCTAAAAAGTCTATCTGCTGACAGACCATCTCCCTTTTCCAAAATAAATGATACACAAAGCTTTCTTCTTTATTTCATTTTAGACACTTACACTACTTGCCCCATACCTTATTCTCTCCGAATCCTCTATTTTAGTGCTATTTAGCTTATTGAATGGACTTTGCAAACCACTTAACATTTGTAAATAGTGTTAATTAATAAAATCTACCTTGAGATTTTTGGGTGGCTTGAAATTGAAGAATGTAGTCAGCTTATTTTGAGAAGCATTAAGTTCTAGAAGATAAGGCATATAGCTTACACAAGACAAATCTGGGGAGGAAATAGATGCAGAATAAGGTAAGCCAATAAAATAACTAGACGAAGGCTTTAAAAACAGCATATGTTACATCAGTATATTTCTTAATTATACCAGTTGCAGGCACATCTTAATTACTGCAGATGAGTAAAATGAATAAAATCAGGATTGTGTGAAATATACAAAAAAAAAGTGTGGAAAACTCTTGATGAGCCAATAATTCAACCTTATTCCCCAGAGCCTGCCCACATCTTGCGTTGCCCTGTTTCCAGTGCAGCCAAGTAACCAACGGCCAAGCCCTCTTCCATGTCTCTGCTCACTCTCCCACGATCTGCTAATGCTCAAATGCCTCCAAACTTGCCAGCCTTAGAGGTAAGGATGAGAAGCTAAAGCCTTAGATAATCCTCTTGATAATTAGCCTCTGAATAACTGAATTAGGTCTTTTCAGAAACACTGGAAATGCTACAATTAGGAAACTCTCTTTGTTGTAAATTAAATTTTGTTTCAGTTGGACTTAATGCTAAATCTCATTAATGATTTGAAGTGATTTTAAATCATTGCTATTATTTTACTTTGACTCTCGATTGGTTCAAAAGTACATCTGAGTTTTGCATTTTATCCCAGGTAAATATTCTGAACTTCGAATACTGAGTGAAGGACTATTGTGCTAATAAAGGATACTCCTAATGAAATTACATATAAATTGTAAAAGTTGTGAAGTATTGTTTTGCCTTTCTTTGACACTTTACAGCAGGCATACTTCGAGGGAGCAGAATGAATTAGGGAAGGGATCAGGAAGACTCACAGAGTAAGGCTTGTAGCCCTGTCTCTACCAATAATTCATTTCTCTACCTGAAAACGGCAATGATAATAGTGTCTCCCTCTCTCTTATTCTAGATCATAGAATGAGCTATTACAACCCCTCAGGGGATGGCCCTAGTGGGAGAATGGAGTCTCCACATCTGCAGCCAAGCAAAATGCTTCTACCTTTCCACTGATGGCACAGACACACGCTCCAGGAGGAGGAGGCCAGCTGGGGCAGTGGGGCCCTGCCCTGGAGCAGGTGGGGCAGGCAGTGTGAGGGGGCCTCCTGCTATCTTTCCTCTCCAAGGGCCACTAAAGCCAGAAAATCCCCACCAGTTTCTATTTTATTTCTCTGAACTAAACCATACCCTCCGTTACCAAATGTAAATAGTTCCAGGAGAGACAATACTTGGACACATTAACACAGGTGGAAATTAATGAGCAAATCAAGGAAGGCTGCCTGTGAGAGGAAACCTGTAATTGCTTTACGGTCCATATCTATTTGTCCCTTCTGAGCTCAGCTACATGTCTGTCAGTGATGGTCTCAACTCTACCGTCCACTGGGCCTCAGACTCCCGCTTGGAGCTGATCTTTCTCAGGGCAGGTAAACTCTGGTACCATGGAGATCTGTCTAAAAGAAGCATCTAGTACTTAGCTAGAGACAAAGAGGTGGTGCGTATATTTCACACTCTGTAGACAGTCAATGTATCCAAATCATTTTAACAGAAAAAAAATCCCTGGTCTGGGATGCTGGATTTGTAGCTTGAGCAAGTCCGTTGTCCCTACTTGGTGCAGTTCCCCGTCTTTCCACTAGATGGCAGGAGCTCCTCGTGTCTACCTCAGCGGTTCTCAAAGTGTGGTCCTAGACCAGCAGCATCAGACTCATCCGGGGAATTTATTCAAAATGGAAATTCTTAGGCCCTCCGCTGAATCTACCGAATCAGAAACTCCGAGGGTGAGGCTGAGCAATCTGCTTTAATAGGCTCCCCAGGTGATTCTGATGCAAGCTGAAATTTGGTCTATATCAGAACATCAGTAAGGCTGTCAACACAAAAAGAAAAATATACTTACACACAGTAGGCTCTCAGACACTTGGTGAATTAATGAAATGAGCCATACAAGATTAATGAAGACTGATCCGGCTGTAGAGAATGCTTCGAAAATCACTGTGGACTCCCTGCTCAGGTGGCAAAGGTATGAAGCCAAATCTCTTCCCTTGTTAGCACTAAGCACTGCGAAAGCCTCCCACCACTCTGCAGTTTCTTATCTAGTAAACGAAACCAACCTTGGAGATGTGGAGTAGGCAAAGTGCTCCTGCCAGAAACACTAAAAAAGCCTTTCTGATGATATGATAATCTGCGATTTGCTTTAAAATAAGCCTGGGGAAGGGGGCAGGGAGGTACAGATGAAACCGGATTGACCATGCGTGTTAATTGTTGAATCTGAATACTCATTCCAGTATTCTCTTTATTTGTGTGTGTTTACAATGTTCCATAATAAAGCTTTATAAAACTAGAAAAAAATAATAAAAGGTCTTTCAAAAACAGCAGCATTTATAAAATAAAAATAGGCTAGAATATTTCTTAGCCATTAAAATAGTGAATTTTAATTATTGGTGTCATATGAGGGTGAAAAATCAGAAAATGAAACAGAGAAGACCATATCAGCAACATTTAATTGTCATAAAAATGGCAGGCAAAAGAAACAAGTAGAAAGATTTTCGCTGAGGAAAGCAGGTCAAAAGTAATGATTTGCTTACTTTCCTGGAAGTCTAAAGAAAAACATTGTACACTGTCAACTTCAAATAAGATCAGAAAATTAGAAACAAGGATCAAGCTTTGAAGAAAATGTGACAATCGTAGGACTAATTTCATTAAATGTGAACAAGATGTTATAACAAATATATAGAACTACAAATGGTGAAGTTAGAGTTGAAAGAATCAACTAAATAAATAAAGACAGCAAAAAGAGGGGAAACAATAAATTTGTGGATCCCTGGTGTTCAAGTACTAAGAATAGAAGAGCTAACCAGGTTTAAAATGTAAATGCAAAAGCAAAATAAGGAAAATAATCCAGTAAAGGAAAAAAAAAA